ACTCAAGGGAATGCAGGCATAAAATGAATTTTTAAAATCAGCTTTCATGTAGGTATATTTTTTTACTTAAGTGATTTTGAATGATTTTGAACTAGCTTAATTCGAGGATTGGATATATGCGTTTGAACCGTATTTCAGGCTCTTATTTCCCATCTTGCTACCTGGAAAACTTGGCAACCAGAGGCGGGAAAGTGAGATGCTTGCTCAGCCAGGTCATTTTTTTTTTTTTTTTTTTTTTTTTTTTTTTTTTCATATGAGAGTTCAACGAGATGCTCATATACGGTCACTGTTCCCCAGACAAACCCAGCAAGCCCCAGATGTGCTACAGGCGGTGTGATGTTTGCTCTTTCCAGCATGCTGTGGGCTTTTTCTCACATGTAAATTTGTTGAAAAGGTTTTCCTTAAGAAATTCATATCCTTGGACATGAACTTTGAAGTAGGACTTGGAAATGTGGTATGGCTGCTTTCCCTTTAAAATTCCACTCAAATTTCACAGCTATAGTAGACTTCTAAAAGCAGTATACTCACTATTTTTAAAACTCTTTCTAGCTTGCAGCAGCTCTGGCTAAATTTTCTAGTGGCAGTCATGAGACTGTTAAGTGAAGCAACTTCTAGGCTGCCGCCTGGGCCTGTGGTGTGTTTTTTGTACGCATAGATTTCTAACAAAAAGCCTTTTGTCTCGGACTATAGTTTACCAGAAACTGAATAATTCTGCCTCTGAAATTTCTCCCATCTACGGTTAACAGAGCCATCAGCTGGCCCTGAGCCCCTGACACAGCACACAGAGCCATGTTGCTAGCACAACCTGCTTTTCTCCTTCTCCCCTTTGCTCCCACCCCAAATCAGATGCTGAAAGTTACTGTCCCTGGCGTTTTTTTTTCCCGATTTAACTGTTTGTCTGTTATCACCCTAGCCCGTGTCTGTGCCATGATCTGAATTTACAGGAACTTGAAAGCAAGTTCTGTTTCATAAATTGGGGTGAAGGTATGATTAGCTGAACAGGTAACCCTGCAGAAGTGAAGTGCTGGGGGAAGTAAATGAGCCGGGAAGAAGTAACTGGAAGCTGGAGTGAATAGAGGAGTATTTAACCTGTAGTCTGTACCAATGAGTCCTTGTATGATCACGTACTTAATTGGAATTTAATTACTTTAAGTGTTATGTACTTTAATTAAAAAGTTACTTTCCAAACTTCTATTCCTTAAATACATATAATTTTGCATTTAAAATGCACACCTGAGTTAGAGATGTCAAATAGCACAAAGATTTGCCATTTACACCCTTCTGTTTATAAAAATTGTGGTAAGTCAATTTTCATTTAAAGGTATATTCCGATCATCCTGTCTTCCTGCAGTTGCAGATTTCCCATGTGCCAACCTTTTCTGTCTGTTTCTGGGCTAAAAGCGGCAGTTCTTGTTCAGCTATAGATCTATCGGGGTACTGGATGTTTATAGCCACATCAGGAATGTCCTTCATCTACCTCTGGTGTCTTACTCTGCTGTAAAATTTCTAATTCACACTGAAGGACTGAAAGTTACTTTTTTTTTTTTTCCTTCTCCTCAATATAAAGGGCAATTTTCAAACTTTGGCATATTTCCCCAACTGTAACAAGCTGCTTTCAGGAGGAAGAGGTAATTTAAGATAAATATAAATAAAGTAATTGAGCTGAAAACTGGTGAGGTAGTTGGAGCAAAGGGGGAATGAACTGGAGGAACACAGTACAGGGAGAGTCAAGCACCAGGGAAGTTTTCCGCTTCAAAAGAGGAGAGAAATGAGGGAATGAGTTGGATGTGGCCCTGGAGCTGGAAGATCTGGAGCTACTGAGAAGGGAAGCAGGATCTAGAGATAAGTGGGAAGACAAGAAAAAGGAATCCACAGCCTGGGTACAGTTTCCTCCTCAAAAGTGAGTCAGTCTGGCTTGAGCTTTGCCACTGTGAGTTCCTCTTGTCCGTCTGTCCTGCTTCTGGCTGTTGGTTCCTGCCCTCTGCCTGCACTAGCAGAGTAGCCCTCTTCCCCCTGCACGCAGGGTGAGGCTTAAATCAGCTCAGTTTAGATATTCTGACTGTTCCCTGGACCTGCCGGTGGCAGAAAACTTGCAGTTCTCTGGGTTACCTAGATAATCAGTGTATTCATCTAATTCAGATTTTTCTTTTCCCAGGTGGGGTGCTGATATTCCTCAGTTATTAGTATATGAAGATCCTGAATTTAATCTTAACACTTAAAAAATCTCCCAGATAAATCTGGATTTAATATGTAACTAGTGACAAGCTCTGTGAGACTGTGTACTTTCATATTTGTTCATGCTTCTTGTAGTCGTTGTAGTAGACAAAGTTCTAATAAAGTGAAGGTGGAGATGTGCAAATAAGTTATTCAATAGTTTTGTTCTTGATAGCATTTCTCTGGAAGATGTCATCAAGGATGACGCTTAGCATTTTGAAAAACTAATCCATTAATAATTGAGCATTTTGGATAACTGTAGAAAATAAATATTTAAGTAAATTGATTTTTATAAAATTAAGTATATTCTTGAGCAGCATCTCATCCTGATGAAGAAATGGAAGAAATAGTAACAGTGAGGTCACTCGCATAAATTAATAATGATCGTTAACTTCACTCCCATCTCTGATAGAGGCTTTGTAGTTCCCCTTTTAAAAAAGGGAGAGGTGAATTTGGAACTGACACAAAAATCCAGTAAGTCATGAAAGAGGCTGTGTCCACGTTACCAAGCAGTGAGGTGTAATAGGATCAGAACCATCAGGTGCTGAGAACCTGGCCCCACGCTATACAGGTTGTGAGGGTTTTATTTCAAGCTGGTCCTCGTCTGATTCCGTGGCTGAATTCCTGCTAGTGGTTGGAGCGTGTACAATGCGCACTTGAAGCTCATTCCCTGATCCAGTTTTATTCAAAAGAAAACTTGTTCATGTACTTGGAGACTGCTTTGCAATGTAAAGCAAAGCAAGGAAAATAGGGTTGTTTGGGAGATTGACTTCAAAAGCGTGGTCCTGATTTGAATTAAAATGCTAAGGGAGACATACCTGGAGTTGTGCAGATCAGGAAGTTCACTAAAATAATTTTGTTTGGTAAGAGAGCTTGGATATCTGATACGTGGGAGTGGGATCAGGAAATGCAATGAATGCTTACAGAAATTAGCAGTTACTAAGAACTTCATCAATTTGGGTGTTGGAAAAAATATCAAGAGGGCATTGTTTTAAAAAAAAAAATAAATCAGCATTGCTCAGAAATGTCTTTACCCTTTAAATAATAGAGTAGCCTTTGTATAAATCAGATACTAGATACAGGGGGACTGGAGGTGATACAAAACCAGAAAGCACGCCAACGTTTTTCTCTTTATAGTTGTTTCTTTGGGAGTCCATCAGGAGATAAACTCAAGTTCCTATAGAGAGAAAGAGATGGATATATTTTGCAGATTCTTTACAAGCTTGCTTTTTCAAAAGCTAAAACAATCTCCACAAATACTTCTGCGTGGCAAGAATGTTTTTTCAGTTTTACCACGGAAGAAATAAGAGTCAAGTGTCAGCCTGTCTGCTCAGTGGAGACAGTTGTCTTTAAGAACTGGTGCTATCTGATATTCAGGATGGTTTCAGGTTACCATTTTACACAAATTTATTATTTATTACCAAGACTATTAAACCTCAGTGTGCGAGGAACAATGCTTATAAATTGACATGGAGACAGAAGTGTTCTGACCTTCTTGTAATGGTAAAGGTCTTTATGGCACTTAGAGAGGAAAAGAGAGGGAAAGTGGATGCTGAAACTCTTCCTCTGCTGGAAATCACACAGGTTTGTCCATCCCGATTCCCAGTACTGTTGGTGTTGGCATTCAAAAATGGTCGTTAAATCTCTACACTGTAAGATTGATGGTATGGGGTTTTTTTAACAGTGTAGCTGGGTTACTGGCGTTTTAGCCTTTGTGTTACTTTCAAGGTTACATTTGCGGTCATAATGATAAAATTCTTCTGTGATCTTTCTGAAAGCTTTGGATGGTGGAAACATTCAAAAATTGTGACACACTGATAAAATGGGAGGAGTTGGCAATAGGTGCCATATGCTCAAGATGGAATCTAAGTAGTAAAGCTGATAAGCCCAACTTAGCGTTTGAAAACCTTGGGACTTGGCACAAGTCAGGCTTGCTTGCAGTTGTTCAAGTGCCAGGTAAGAGCCTGCGCCGTGCTGTCCTCTAGCGCTTGGATGTACTCCAGTTCAAAAACACAAGAAAAATCAAACCCACCCTATTGCCAGTACTTTTTCCCAAATTCTTGGCTTGTTTTTTCTTCCCAGGAGTAATCATGCCTGTGTGCAGCTACAATAAACCTATTGATTATTTCTCAGTATATTGCAGTTCCTTGTGTACTGGAACTAATGGGGTGACACCAGTGGATTTTTTTTTTTGTGAAGCTGCTGCCTTACAGATTCTCTGGTGTTTAATAAAGATTGAATTGTGTGTTGTTTGGTTGTGTCCTTCCTCTAGTCTGCTGCCTGTATAAAAGAAAAATAAAATAAATTAAAAAATTGGAGAAGCCTTGTCTCTGAGGGCTTGCAAACCTGGCTGGTATAGACCAGGCGAATCCAAGTTACTGGGAGAGATCACAAAGGCTTATTTTCATAGGAAAACTGTCCATAGAGGTTTTTAACACCCTTCCTCCCTGACATCCCTGTTCATGAGTGAATATTGTAATGATATAATATAAAGAAAATTAATTTTAAATGGTTTTAGTGTTAGTATTTTATAAGTATACTGCAACCATACAACTATTAGAAAAGCAGGAGTCTTAAGAATTTTTTTCTAGCTAGGAGCACTTCACAATAGCAGATGGCTTCCGTAATTCCAGATACCACTATCTGCAATGTGCAGTTCACCCTATGTACTATGAACTGTCAATACAATTTCTTCGGCTACCTCTTAAGTCAAATTCTCTTCCTGTTTTACAGATTAATAGAAATATGCATTTCCATAATATCACCTTTGAACTAATGAAGTGGAAGTACAGATGAAAACAGTCTGGAGGAAGCTTGAAGTACAATACAGTTCCATTCAGTTTCCTCATTCTGAGGTAAGGTTAATGGATGCAGAATTTTATTTCAAGTATTTCAGGGGTAAAAAGCATATGATAAGAAGCCACCATATCTTTCTTATAAAAGTTTCTAAGCCTTCTTTTTTTATGCTAGTGACAGTCTTTAATACCATACTGCAACAGCTATTTGATCTACTCTGTCCATGTTGCAGTTATGAAAAAAGACAAAACAGCATCAACTACAGAGACATCCGTTATAGAAAGATGTATTGGAAAAAAGTTACCGTATCAGACAAATTTGGTACAGTCTGTCTGGTCATGGTTGTTACTAATGTTTTAGTTGAAATAAAGGACTGGTAACACAATTAAGTGACATGCCTGTTGGGCATCTTGTATTCTGGCAGAGTGTTTGATTGGTACAAAATGTTATTACGCTGTTTTTTTATTGTTACAGCTATTAATAAAATGTTACAGGGTTTTTTCATGCTAGATTCCACTGCCTCGATATCTTAGAGACATTCCTGTGATTGATATGAGTGATGGAGGTGTTTGGTTCATCATTTGCTGCTTTTTTTCCTTTATGTAACTAAGAGGCTAAGTAAAATAATTCTGAACTGTCAGATTTCTGACATTTCAGACTTCTCTTCGGCAACATTAAATCTGTTTAAAAAACAGATAGTGAGCACTGCGCCTCCTAGATCTACCTTCTCACTGTTCCAGTTGTGCTTAAAGCTAAGGCAATGCCCACATACAGTGGCTTTTAAGCTGTGATGCTGTTGGCCCTTCTCACTTTTTCCCAGTTGGGTAGAAATGGGGTCTCTAACAGGTGGGACAGCTTCAGAGGCTTACACTAGCAGGATTCATCAGTCGTCGCCTGCTCGGTCTCAAAGGAAGTTTGCATCTCAGATTATGTTATCTTGCAGATTTTGGCCACTGTTACAAACAGATGTTGAACCCCTTTTCAAGAAAAGAGAAACTTTACTTAAAAACAGGGCTGTGCCTCTTTCACTTATGGAGATCAGCCAAGGAATCTTAACATGCATTTGAGATTCATACATTTGACTGAGAGAGAGAAGCATGTATCCCCTCTGGAGGTCAAATTTTAGAGAAACAGGGAAAGATCTTTTCCAAGGGAAAGGTCAGCATTGAATTCGGCTAACCCGTATTTTACCTTTCTGCATACCACAAGCACATTCACAAAGCTAGGAAGTTGGAACTCATGTTGACAAGTGCAAAATTTGTAGTCAATCTACAGTACTTCAGGTGAGGAAGATTGTCGACTGGTTTACATGCTGAATGCATGTCTTGATGATGCATGCTAGCTTCTTTCACCTTCCTATTTTACTCAGGTTATTTTATGCCTGACAAGATGACAGGCAAGTACTATTTCTTCTTATTCAATCACATATTCCCAAGAAGATGTTGGATAATTCAAAGGCCAGTTGCATCTTGCAAACAAAGCAATAGCTAGCGTAGATTTGACACACTTGTGTACTACTCAAAAGTAAAGTACTTGGAGTCAGAGCTGAAAATTATGGACTTTGCACTGACACAAACCCAAGAACTGATTTCTTCCCTTTTTCTCCCTGAGGAGGGGAGCAGATCATTTCTCCAATGAGAAAGATGGTTGAATGATAAATAACAGTTCTCAAATTGTTTATCAGTAGAGGATTCTGCAGATGAGCCACTGTCTTGAAAGATCACTCCTTTGTCTACCAGAAAGAACAGTTTCTGTTTTCAGGCTTGTAATTACAAGCAAATTTCAAAATTGAGATTAAGTGTTTGGGGAACATGGGCATACTAATAGAAGACTGTGTACTTTAAGAGCTATTTGTAGCATTAAATAGCTTCATTAACCTAGATGGTCTGCTGTGGACACTAGAACCACATCAGCCATTTAGAAGAGCAATCAATATGCTAAAGTGAAAGGATAATCTGTGTTTGGATAAATCACAGGGTTTTATAGGATTAGAGAATGGTAGAGGGTAGAGAATGGGTCATCATAAAACAGTCCTTTCATCATTCTGCCCTCTGTTCTCAACGATCCCACTCCCAAAGCATGTAGAGCTGATGCAGTATTTAGAGAACTAGTGCTGTAAACTGTATTAATGAAAAAAATCTCACTCCTTTCATGTAAGAGATTTGAGGGAAGGGTAGTGCTTGGAGACGCCGTGTATAGGTGAGCTCTCTGAATAAAGAGTACCAGTAAATGCTAATCAGTATGTCTTCAAAATACTATCTGTATTACCCTCTTAAGTGTCTTTCTGATGCTATCCTGAATTGAAAGGAACTGAAAAATGGGTGGATGCCCTTCTGTTACACAGATGGAAAGAGAGAAGGGCTTTTTTTGCTGATACTTATTATTTTGCTAATATGGCTGGGCAAAAGCCAAGTGTCAAGTGGCAGGGCATAAGCATATGCAGTTGGGTTGAAAACTCTGGATGTCATATTATTTTAAAAGGGGAAAACCAAAACAAACCCAACCCACCTGTGCAAGTTATCTTTTTTCCCCTCCTTGTCCACTGTCTCTTTAAATAGTAATAGTATTAGTAACAATTGAGGGAGGCAGGTTGGTTTATGCTTTCCCTGTATGTAAATAGCTGATCTGGCAAAAAATAAAATCGCAACTCTGCTCCACCACAAAATTTCCCTATCTTGACACAGCTTGTCCAGTTTTCCCTAAGAATTATGGGCTTGTAAGTCACCCAGCACACAAATGGCAAGAAGGAAGCTTATCAGAACAAAATAAAAACAAGTCCTTTTGCTATTCACTTCTGTTCCTGTGTATGCTCTACCCCCTGTTTTCATACCTTTATACCTGAATTTTCAGTAGCAAGGTGGCAAAGAGAAAAAAATAAGGTTACCAAGGCCAAAAGAGGGAAAAACTATAAATACCAGATGTGAACAGAGTACATTGTCGCAAGTGTTGATCTGACATTTTATGTACTTCCCCAGTGAGAGATCAGTAGTGGTGTATTTCATAGTCTGACCTACTTCCAGGTGTATTTTTTGAGCTCATTTGTGATTTTGATGCCCACAAAACGCTGTGAAGGCGAGTGCTTTAGTTTTCAATTTTGTTATATACAAAAGGTGCATTTTTGTTTGCATCTAAAACTGCTTGCCTGATAATTTATTTGTTAGTTCCTAGGTGGTGCACAAAGAGAAATTGTGATTAAAACTCTCTGGTTATTTCCTCCATATTACGGTTCAGTGAGGAGTATCATACATCTCTGACTGTTCTCTAGAAGGTTCATTTTAATCTTTCTTTAATATGGCATCTCTCTGTAATATGGCCCTTCACTGTACTTTTGCTAGTTTTACTCTTATTTTTTGAGACAGGATAAAATTTTCTTACATGTTTCTTAGTAGGGTAAATGTCTTTTATTTGCACCTGTGAATTTGTGCAGGTCTCTTGCATTTCTTGTGTGATGTAACTGGAGAAATACAGTTTAGTATATGACACCTAATCTGTGGCTACATATGCTTACTTACCTTCTACAACTGGTCTCCTGTATCATGTTGTCTCTTTATTTAAGGTAAAGATTTAGGTTGTATGATTGCTTTGTTTTCTTTGGGGAAAATGACTTGGATGACTTTCGCACATACCTGCACCCCCCATTAAAATGTAAGATGCTCAAGACCTCTAATGTACA